GCAGCTTATGGACTGCCCCTCGTCTTCCTCACATATAATGCAGGGGCTATGGGTCCTGCACTGTATGTGATGACATCAGCGGCCTCCGACTGCTTCACTGAAGGGGGGAAGAGGCTGATGGTGCCAGTCTTGGAACCTATGGGATCAGGGAAGTAATAGTCCTTTACTCCAGTCCCCTAGACAATAATGAGTAGTTATATCTTGTAGTGCAGGGATAGCACTGCTGCGCCGGGAGGGTTTTTTCACCCCGGCAATAGGCTTCAAGTGCAGAATTCAACTTCTACTGGTCTGGTTCCAGCCAACTGAATTCTAATTGGCTGTGCACTTACAGTTTATCAAAACAAAAATGTAATATATTGCAGCTTACCAGTCCTTAGATGTGGTAGCTGCATTACTTTTCATGTTATACTGGAATATATAACATTTCTGTTTAGCAACTATCACTTAAGTATTAGGAACCCTTTAATGTATAACGCTGATTACGTCAGTGCACTGTAGAGTCTCAATCTGCCCCTCCTATAGAAAGGATATTAAGGGTCATCATGCTCTCTGCAGAATCCAGATCACCTGCCAGCAGGTGATGTAAAGTACATGTGTCCTTGGAGTTCTCCAATGTCCTTGGAATTGAGGGCAGTTGGCTCTTGTTACCAACTAATGTCATTGCAGCTTCTGCAGTAGATGGTGCATGTTCTGTGTGTACTCATCATGGGGTTTGCCTTTCCAAGGAAGAGGTACCAGGGAGGGGTGAGGCGTTTCTGGAGGACTTTGCCATTCACACAGATACAACCAAACCACGTCCGGATCCAGCCGTGAAAGATGAAGGAACGTCCTACAGGAGGGAGATGGAGAAAAACAAAGAGATTACTCAGTGGGCAGTCCGTAGCGCTGTCTAAAAATGTACAGTCATGTGATCATTATAGAATGGAATGATTAATCCATATTGTGCTTGGGCTCTGTGGACATTGTCCCTCTGTGCACGTCTTGTGGTTCCCTGTGAAATAACCACAACTTTCCCTAAATTTGCATCATAAAAGCAAATGGCTAAAAACATTTTTAAAAATTATATATTGCCAAAAAAATATTCAGCTCAGTTTTTCTGCCAAGGTCCTGACATATATTTATCCACAGACAAAGCAATACAGCATATTCAAGAATATGAGAGGCAAGGATCTAATGTGCCTTATCAGTGACCTATGTGCCGTCTTTTCCAATCAGCAAGCTCTATTTGTTAGATTCAAAGCTTTAAAACCTGATTGGATTAAAGTGTTCCCCCTTCCTCTCCCAGTGCCGATATACAGGGGATGCCAGGAGGCTACTACAATGAGTAAGGTACTAATAAGAAATATCATGAATAAATACATGGGGGTATTTTATATTTGCTTACACTTACACTTCATATGAAAAAAGCCTCTGTAATAACTGGATAGGATGGGTATTTACACTCTGCTCTTCTGACAAATGCAGTGTAAAAATAAATGAAAAATAGCTACCAAAAAGCAGTACTTGTGTATGTTCAATCAGGATTTTTCCCTACAATTGCCTTCTGGCTGTGTAACCAGCCTGTGTAGGAAGTTCAAAGACCCTGAGATAAGCCGAATTCTGTTGATTCTCAATAACAAATGCTAGTAGGATCCGTGAAGGGCATAAGCCAGGTCTACAGGAGCCAGACTCATGTGAGGGCATGTGTATTAAGATGAAGAAGCAAAAATCAAGTATTCCAGTGTACAAAAAACGACAAGACAAAACAATAGGTTCACTTTAATACTAGTCCTTGCTGCAGATTATACTCACCTTTCTTCTGCTCTAGCGCTGCCAGGACCAAAGAGAGATACCGGATACTTCCAGGGATTAGGCAGCATGTGACTTGCTCCCCTTCCTCTTGTGACCGCGCTGATGTTTGGCAATTGACTGCTCAGGGACCAGTGACATCACATGGGAACAGGGAAAGATTCCTCTGCCCTCTCTAAACTCCGATTAGGATTGTCTTGCAACTTAAGTGGCAATAAACTCAGGAGCACAATCTTAAAAAGGCATTCAAGTACCTTAACTATTAACAAAACTGTAATTTTAATTATTAGTAAACTAAACAGGAGATTGTAGTCCATCACGGGAGCGAGCTTGGAGCGGTAACTACTTTACAACACACAGGGACCATGAGGAACAAAAGTAGCCGCCCTCCAGAAGGAAGGACAGTATCAGCACCAATTCAGAGATGATTTGAGGATCTACAGCCGAGTGATACACAAATAGGATACATTATTATTAATAGTTATGTCACTTGAATAAATTGTTAAGACACAACACCCGAGTTTAATGTCGCTTTAAACAGGGTTCCTCTTCCTTCCCAAAAGGACAGCAAAGGGGAGGTGAGCACATGCAACTGCAGCAGAAGAACAGTATATAAATCATGTGGGAAGGGAGATGAAACATTTAAAATCCATATAGTGAACACTCAACCCCACGCTGAAGGGGTGAAACTCAATGACAAATAGCAGGCAGATTCAAATGTAAAAAGAATAGATGGGGGGGCCACCACAATTTGAGTCAAAAATAATGTGGTGGCACCCCATCTGTCCCTTTTCCATTTTAATCTACCTTGGACCCCCCATGTCTGGCTTGGGTTGTCCCTGTTTATATGGGATCAGCCTCTTCAGGAAGCATCCTGAAGAACAGGTTCATTTAAAAGCAGCAAGGAAGGATGTAGCACCTCGTTTCCCCTAAACATGCCCAAATAGCAGGCAGATCACTCTTGATCACATACTGTATATGTTTATTGTTTGTAGATGTGTAAAATCCAAATTGGTTCAGCAGCAACGTAAACCTGTTACCTAGACAAACTGACTTTTCACATAGGATGGGCTTTGAGTTGCTTTATCTGCCCTCCAGAGCATAGGTTCTAGACAAACAGCCCTGATGAAAAGGACACTGTAATTGCCCCGAAATGCGTTGGCTTTACACCTTTAAATAATAATGAGATCTGTATTCAGGACGATCTACCTGCATTTTGTCATTTGACAAGAACGCTCTTATATTGATTTTTAAACCAGTTTCTTATTCAGTAGTGAAGCGTGGATAAGGAAGACGGCTTCGGGCGTCTTCTCTTATATTCCTGACAGGTTGAGTCCAAACAAACTGACATACAACTGATACAACATTACATAACACTGCTACACAGAAGAAAACAAAGCGTTAAACCTCACTTGCAGAATAGGAGGTAGAGACAGACAAACGACTATCTCCATTTTTTTGGTCCAGTTATGTATCTGAAATACTTTAAATATCACAGATGTCACCAGATCCTAAAAGCTGTATATACATTTTGCACGCAGCTGTGTTACTCTCATTAGATCTCATCAGTGAAAGAAAATGAGCGGTACCATCACCATTAGTAATAAGCGTTCTTCTCTAGAAACAAAAGGATTATTAAACAGTACCGATGAGCTGAAATTGCAATATTCCATGAAAGCAAGGCACGTTATCATCTGTGCCTACAGAGTTGAGTAATGGTTTGTTTAGCAAGCCAACTGCATCTATGCATCATCTGGGACCGACTGGTTACACAGTGTTCTAATAAAGAATCTCGAAATTAAACTGGTCTATATTGATATAAATAAGAACATGCCAGTACTTTAAATTGTTTAAAAACAGGCTGTTTACATTTGCCAGGCAAATCTCATTAGATGGAATCCTACATCTACTGCTATTAAATGTAGAGGTCATTTTGATCCATCAGGGTCCAATGGTTTGTATAAGAGTATATGACCTATGGTTGTGTTCTTCGAAGCCCCACTGCAGGCTCTGGACACCATTCTACCAGTGGACCCCCTCCCTACAGCAGTATTTTAGGCTTCTTTTATTTTATACTTGCCTTGTCTAAATGGCTTCAGGTCGGTCATGTGAAAAGCAATATCCTTCTCGGATCTCCGCCTAATGGTGGGTGGTCCTTAAAGTGACACTAAACTCAGCAATTAAATCTAAGAAATGCATTCAAGTACCTTAATTATTAACAAAAATGTATCTTATTTGTATAGCATTTGGCTGTAGATCCTCAAATCATCTCTGAATTCATACTGACACTGTCCTTCCTTCTGGAGGGGGGGCCACTTTTATTCCCCATGGTCCATGTGTGAGTTGTAGAGTAGCCACCACTCCAAGCTCACTCTATTGATAGACTACAATCTCATGGTATGTTTAATAATTTGTATAGAGATTGCAGTCCATCAGGAGAGTGAGCTTGGAGCGGTGGCTACGTTACAACACAAACAGGGACCATGGGGAACAAAAGTAGTCACCCTCCGGAAGAAAGGACAGTGTCTGCACCAATTCAGACATGATTTGAGGATCTATAGCCAATGATACTCAAAAAAAAGCTTTTTTTGGAATCGATAAGACTTGAAAGCATTTTTAAGATTTAACTGCGTTTTGTGTCACTTTAATGATGCATCAATATATTGTCAGTTCTGATGGCTGTGGTGACACCCCCCTGAGAAATTGGTCCCATGAAGGCCTGTACTCACAGCATGTCCTTAGTGTTTCAGATTGAATAACAAACCTTGACGTACTGAAGAAGATGTAAATACGGCAGTAAAAGCTGCTTTTATAACCTCCAGGGGGACGAATTAATTATTTCATATAGTGATAAAACTGCCATTACGTTTTGGCAGTCAGGCACTCCCACCATGATCTAGGGGTTATGGTGTATCTGACATTCCTTCAGAAGTTTAGTTCAATATGCTGGTGGTAAAGCCTTGTTGGCTGACCTGCTGGTAGGTTAATTGGCTCCAGTTTAAATTGGCCTTGTATATTACATAGGGACCTTAGACTAAGCTCCTTGAGGACAGGGACTGATGTGAATGTGTGCACTATATGTAAAGTGCTGCATTAATAGTCGGCGCTATATACAGTAAATACCTGTAATCAATAAATTACAGAGCAAATGTTGGAACTACACAGGAAACATGGATGCCCAATATACTGGTTGAGAAAGAAACAGCCATGACTCACCGGATTGCAGCTTCCTGAAGTTTTTTGGGCTGCCGGGCGCTCAGGTACAACATGCAAGAATCAATCACCTCCAGCAGATCGCTGTCTCCTAGAGGACAAAACAATCTGTTCAACTGCTGCTCAGCACAGATACAATATCAAACAGTTACCACATATACTGTACATCAGTTGTGCAGGTGTCTCTTGCAACCCTTTTGGTTCATATACAGTATTGAGGGGATTCAGAAAAAGTAGATGTAGTATGACTGACTTGCTTCTGAATTCACATTGACTTGTATTTATATGCAAATGTAAGCAAGCCCTTACCTACTTCCCTTGGTTTATATCATTCCAGAGTCACTCACTACAGTCCCAGACATGTCAAGTAGGCCATAAACCCCAGAAAATCTAGCAGCCAGTCAGTGTCTATTTTTATACAGTATTTCTAGTACATGAAAAGAGATATGAATATCCAGTGACAATAGGCATTGCAGGTGTATGTGTGGCCTACTGTTCTGCGTGTTGCTGAATCCCAGTCTTTGCCACACACAGACCAGAAGTCTGTGCCAGCTTGGCTTTAAAATGCAAAAGGACAATCTGGACACCCAGACATGATGGATGTTCTGGATGACAACTCTTTCAGGTGCGCAGTTTCACTATGTTACCTTTCTTGAGCTGCTCGCACCACCAGTCTCAGCAACAATGAGGAGAATCTGCTGCCTAAAGAGATATCTGAATCCAACATTTCTGGAAAAGTCGGACCAGTGGTTCAAACCACCAGCCCGTGTTACTACTGTGTCCTGTAGTGATGAGCCAGCTATGAGCCAGCAGAAGAAACCACAGAGTACACGGGGA